TCATCTGGGGGCTCACGGTTTTGGAGGCCTCAGTCCACACACAGTTCCTCAGTTCCTTTTCCTCAGGGCTCAAGTGACATCATGGCAGAAGAGTGTGGTGGAAGAAAGCAGTTCAAGACATCACACCAGGAAGCAGAGAGAGTTCCACTCAGCAAGGACAAAATAGAGCTTTTGGGGGACACCTCGTATCTAAACCAGAACAGAGTAAGTCATACAGTATATGACCTTTCGATTCTGGCTTCTTTCACTTAGAGATTCATGCAGTATTTCCATGTCTCCCCATAGTTTGTTCCTCTTCACTGCTGAGTTGTATTCCATTGGATGGATACACTGTTTGCTGAACCATCCAACCAGTTGAAGGACATCTGAATTCTTTTCAGTTTTTAGCAATTATGAATAATCTTGCTACTGGCTTCTGTGTAACCATGTTTTCACTGCTGTTTGGTAAATATGAGGGAGTGGGATTACTGAGTCATAGGCTAAGTGCATGTACTTTATATGAAATTTGCCAAAATCTTTTCCAGATCGGCTATACCATCTTACATTCCTACCAGCAATGCCTCCTCACCAGCGCTGCTCAGAGGATTTCTTTCAAGATGTTCTAATAGTTGTGTAGCGTGTTTCGTTGCTGTTTCAATTTGCATTACCTAATGACTAGATGTTGAGTGTTTCTTCTTAGATAAAAACATCTTCTAAGATCTGCCCATTTTGTAAATAGGTTTGTTTTATTGTTTTTGAATGTTCTCTCTGATAAGTGGATGCTGATCCATAATGGGGGGAGGTATGGGAAAAAATGGAAGAACTTTGATGGGGAAAAGGGGAAGGAGAGGAGGGGAGTGGGTATGGGGGCAGAAAAGATGGTGGAATGTGATGGACATCATTACCCTAGGTACATGTATGACTGCACACAGGGTGCGACGCTACATCGTTGTACAATCAGAGAAATGAAAAGTTTTGCTGCAATTGTGTACAATGAATCAAAATGCATTCTGCTGTCATATACACCTAATTAAAATAAATAAATACACTTATTTAAAAACAGTAAAAAAAATGAAAGTTGATGACTTCAAATATATGCTGGATGTAAATGTTTCATCAAGTGAGATTTACAAATATTTTCTCCCAGTCTGATTTGTATTTTTATCTTAACAGTATCTTTCTCAGAGCAAAAGTGTCAATTTTGATGAAGTCTCACTTATTGATTTTTTTTTCCTTTTATGGACTGAGGCATCATATCTTGGAACTCTTCCTTAATCTAAAGTCAAAAATATTCTCTCTTAAGCTTTCTTTTAAAGACTTTATAGTTTTACATTTATGTCTAGGATATATTGAGTTAACTTTTTTATAATCAGTGAGGTATCAATCAATGCTCATTTTTTTTACAAATGGGTGTTCAATTGTTCTGGCACCATTTAGTGAATCACCTTTGCAACTTTCTCAAAAATCAACTGATCATT